AACTATTATTAATTTATTTTACTTTTGATTTATTATCAGATTTAATTTCATTTTTATCTAYGATTTAGTAAAATGTCTGCTTTCCTTCATATCGACACCTAAAACGCAAAACAATATTACAAGAAAAAAATCGAAATTGATTTTTTAATGGTTTAGGATTCAATACATCACATTAAATAGATCTAGCATTAAATGTTCAGCTTCCGCTGTCAGATATAACCAATAYAKCACTAWTTTATAACYGATATATAACCAATATATAACTAATATATMACYATTTTATAACCMAAACTCAAATTTTGTTTYAATATGWGTGGTTCCAATTTTATCCCTTTCCTTCATCTATAAACTTATGAAAAATGATGTTACGATATTTTTTGCATTTTAGGTGACGATATAAAACTTTTTCGTCTGATTTTTTACTCAAACATATCCTAGAGTTATTTGTCAAAAATTGTACAAAATGGAATATTTTTTTTTCATAGTTAGCATGATTCGATTTAAGTCAGATATGCATTGTTTTATTCGAAAGCTTCTTGCCTTTCYAAAGAAAATTTCCTGTTCCTATTCKCASAAAACTGGAGCGTCAATGTTCACAAGCTTCTTTTGAAACATTAGCGAAATTATTTGTCCATGCAAGAATGCGTAATAATCATTTGCACCAGTTCCGGACTATAATCTGGATGTATAAAAACCGCCAAACAACAGTCTTGGAACCTTTGGTGACTCACTATCGAGGTGAGTGGTCCGCCGTTGTCCTTTTGGAATAGAATTTCTCCCTTATTGGTCACACATGACCACTTCTGAAAGATTGGTCGTAAGTAAGCAGGTCGTAATAGATGATTTTTTGCACATTCCACCAAACACATGGCAAAGTCTCACTGACCGTCAATCGTGGCTTGGTTAATAATGGGAGCTCTCACTCATCGACGGACGCAACGCATGTTTCAGCACCTAAAACATCGATTTGATGAATCATTCACCGTATAGTCTTGAATGACTTGGCAACGAACGACTCTATTTATTTCCGTACGTAAAARGAAAACTCCGAACAACTATAAATGTTGATGATTGCATGCTTTGGAGATACCTTAAGCTGAGGGGCAAAAGTGAGTCGACAATTGGTTCAAACTTTTGCAAAAGTGTATGGAGATGCATGGAGAATRTTTTGARAWACAAAAAAGCGATTTTCGATACTAATAAWAATTGATTTTGCTCTCTAATCCCGAAATATAAAAAGCAACATAAGTCAAATCCTTTGTCTTTAACATACTTTTTTTTAGACTATTAATTTTTTTTTACTCATTTAAATTTCTTACGAAATCGTATATTGATTAAAATAAATTTATTTAGAATGATTATGATTAATTCAATTAATTTTGGATTACTTGAGTTCTTTTATGTTCACTGTACTCACTTTTTTGACACGAAATAGCCCATTTGAGTGTGTGGCATTTCGGCATATTCGCGACACTGCTGCATRACGAATTTCAGCCACTCACCACACTGATAAGACCAGAAACCGCGATGACTTGCAATCGATTCGGCATAGTAAAGCGGTGCACGAAAGTGATTGCAATTACGTAAACCTTTAAGAGTTTACAAAATAACTTTAAGAAAAKATATGAATGAGAACTACGTGACTTACGGCCATCCTGCACAATATTACAACCAGGCTGAAAAAACTTATCTAAATTTGGATAGAAATCGGCATGACCACWGCGATCCAAAGTCGAATAGAAAAACGGATCTGTGTGTATGACATCGACAAACTCGGCATCGGAGGCATCAAGCTTCTCGCTGCGATTATAAGTAACGAAGGCGGGACCAGCGGGATCCAAACCTACCGAGAAACGTAATCGAGGATGGAAGAAGTAGTTTGGAAAGTRTTAAGTTCTATTTGCAACACACCTGTTATGCGTCGCAAAGGTTGCTTCACACTATTTGCCGACAATCCGGCGATCTGAGCGCCCAAGCTGAAACCAATCAAATGTATATCTTTATCCATATAAATGCCACGCTCAATTAAGTTATCTGTTAGTTGCGCTAAACAGCGAGCCACGACACGCGCATTGCTCACCGCCCACGGGTAGTAGCAGGGAAACGCCGACAGCCTGCTATAGTCCACTGAGATCACATGTACTCGCTGGGTGCGCAAGAGCACTGAACGCGATTCGAGATTCGGTGAAGCATACCGATTACCGTTAAAGCCGTGTATGAGAATTTTCAAAGGCCAGCGTGGTTCGAAATCGGCCTTTATGAGATTAAGTGGATCTAAGAGTTGTGGTTCACTTGAAATGCTGTGGATTTTTTTGTATATTTTATTTCATTCGCGCACACTTTAGTTTCATGCACTCACTTTTTGTAGAGCCAAAATTGTATATGCTCATTGGGACACTCATCGCGCACATAAATACAGTCGAAGGGAAAGGTAGCACGRATCTTGGCGGCAGATGGTGGAACTTTAACGGGTTTAAGCGGTAAAAATTTAAAATATGAAAAATATACATATGTATATAACAAGTCAATTGAAAGGTATCCAGCTTGGAATTAATTCCATATGATTTTTGGTTAGACTTAACCTTTCTAAGGCACGTGTAAAATGTTGAGTGAAGAAACTTTTGTTATTGTGAAAAAATTGTGAAAAATGCTGTTTTATTAATTGGAAAAAATACATAAGCAAAAACTTGGTTTGACGACAAGTTTCCAAGAACTGCCTCAGAAAAAGCAACCATCGCGGTTTTGTATGCTAAGTTCAGTCTTGGTGAAATGGGCAGTGGACGCCCAAAAGAGGTCTTACTGGCGAAAACATCAAAAAGTGCCACAAACTAATTTTGAATGACCATAAAGTGAAGTCGTTCGAGACAGCCGGYACTCCAAAGAAATCAACTTAACGTAAGACAAGACATCGTGTCAAAAGTGAATGAAAACAGTGCCAAAAATTCTTGATTGGACTTCGAATTGCTTTCGCATCCAACGTATTCTCTAGACCCGACACCCAGCGACTGATTCCAGTTCTCAGATCTAAGAGMAATGCTCGTGGAGAACAAATTTCCGTCGAACGAAGAGGTCTATTTTGCAAAGAAAGTATTTCACAACGATAAGCCGGGGACTTTTCAATTGACTTAGTATATACACGACATATATATTTCAAAAAAATATTACTCACTTATAGCCGCGATAATTACGCACAGACAACKAATTTCACTCCTCATATTTTAATTTTTAATTGATAAATGCCACACGCCGGCRGTAGAACCGTTAACTTTATACACATTAATATGCTAATCGTACCCTCATWATTACTCGTAATGAAATTCATATGCGTATCATCATTGAAACACATATTGAGAGGCCGTTATCAACACCCAGCTAAAGTCCAGGGTCAATTTCGATTAAATCCACATGATGAGTAAGACTTTAAATTTTTTATTGTTTAAATAGCTAATTGTTATAAATATTTGCACAAGTGCGGACGCCTTAAACTAAAGTATGTGGTATTATTTTTGGCAAAAACAATTGTTTGCTCGTTAAATTCACTTCCTTTAGCTAACACGCGGAAATCTTTTGTACTTAAATATTTGTCACATTCAACTAAAATCGGGCGGTACGTCCACATTCATTCCATATTCGGCGCCGTAGCGTAGAAAGCGACACATAAGCAGCTGATCGCAAGCCTCYTCGTTCAGCATATCGAGATCGTAATTCGCGCGCCAATTCGGCTGCTGTTCTGGCAGTTTATCTTTCATACGGCCGAGCGCGAAAGGTGTAGAGTTCGAGGTCTTGAGAAAGTATATGCCTGTGAGGCTACAAATATATTATATATGTTTTATGGTTTCTTTAATATTTCTTAGGTGTTTGCTGATTTTTTACCTCTCATCAAYGTGATAGCCCATCCTGGCATCATTCGATTCCACGCTGCATATATTTAACACGAAATAAAGCCAATTCATACAACGGCTGCTCCAGAATTCTTGTTTCGGATTGATAGATTCGGCATAGAAACGTGGTGCGCGYTCGTGATTACAGCTACCGGGTTCTTGAAACAGAGAGACATAAAAATTGTGCGATCGATATAAACACTTTCAACGAATTGGAGCCGAAGTGGTCGGAAGAAAATATCGCGTCTGTTTTGGAAGGATTTTGTCGCACCCACTTTATCGAAACATAACGGAAGTTTGGAAAACAGTTSTTAACATAAATTTCGATACCTTTTATTTATTAAGAGTAATTGAAGCGTATGAACAATGGTAAAATGCAACTCTGATATCCAGCTTCAGATTTTGATGTAGAGACAAATGTGGTCTCAAAATTCTTGTACTTGAAGCTTATAAGCCGTGATAAAACACAACTCTTATATGAAGCTTCAGTTCAGATTTTTAATGTATGTAGATACCAATATGGCCTCAGAAGTTGGGTCATTTAATACAATTCTGAGTCACAGAGGTGAGGAAATCAACGAAAACCAAAGAGCTTAACGAACTTCTATACCATTCGCTTATGAGCCTAAATATTCCRTACTCTTGATTCCACTTCGCACYTATTTCAATACATACCAGCCTCCACTTCACAACCGGGCTGTATATAGCCGAAATTCGGATAGAAGTCCACATGACCCATTGGATGCATCATACCACGCCCTAGCACATCAGTATGTATGACGTCCACAAAATCGGCATCATCTTTACTCAACTTGCGTTCRTTGCCAGCGGTGATGAACAGCGGCTTTGCCGGATCCAATCCTAGAAAGAAGCTTCCAACTAAAGTTTAAATGCGCCACAACAACAATACACCGCTCACCAGTTATGCGTTGCAATTTCTTCGTCACATAATTTGCCGTTTGACCAGCGACTTGTGCGCCCAGACTAAAACCAATCACGTGCAAGTCCTCATTTTGCACGATMYCKTGAYCGACCAAGTTGTTGATCAATTGCGCCAGACAACGTGCAGCCAAAGGTARATTTTGCACAGCCGAGGTGTAGCAWGGTTCGCGCACCAGCGGACCATAATCGGGTGAGATGACATAGACGTCCTCATGCTGCAGCAGCACTGGTCGTATRAAGGTRTTCGGYGCAAAGTCACGATGTCCTGTATAGCCGTGTATGAGTATTTTGACGGGTCGGCGTACGGGAAAATCGCTTTTTTGTAGACTTAGTGGATTTAGTTGMACGGGTGTATTGGCTGTTGCGCTAGAAAATATTTCGGTTTTGACTTTTTTCTTATTAAAATGCACTTTACACTCACTTTGTGTACAACCAGAAGGTGACATTCTCGTTGGGACACTCACTTTGCGCGACAAAACATTTCGGATCGAAGAGACCCTGTATCGGATTGGCGCACAACGAATTCTGACAAACTAAAAGAAAAACTTGTTTTTTATTAATTGCTAAATAATTTCACACAGCTGACTTCACAGTACTTTGTAATATAATAACCGTTAGAACGGTGTTGAAAGCGCGCATTTTTCAACGCAGAACGTGTGCCAACAAGGAACGCGGTAGTTTTAGAAATGCCACACAAAATGCAGCGTTTGGCATGTTTATAGCGCGACACACGATTTTCACATTTATTTGTATATAATTTGGAGCGACAACATTTATTATCACATAGCTGTAAAAATGTGCAATCAACCCACTGAGCTTACAAGTTATGTTTGTGAATTTTGTTTTTGTTGATATTTTTATTTTTTTGTTTTAACAAACTTTTAACACTTTCTATTACAAGTCCGAGCTTTTTTGTTTTCATTTAAATTATTTTAATAAACCACCCACATGTCATTGGTACCCCCAATGGAGAAATTTAAGTGGCTCAATGTCAATTTGATTTCGCTATGGCTGTCAACATGTCGTTGGTATGCGGGCTTAGCGGTTTCTTTTACTTATATTTTTGCATTGAGGGCAGTGTATGAAGGTGTCTGAGGTAAATTTCAACTATTTCTATTATATAATTTTGTAATTATTTATATRTGAGCTTTTAAAGCAGCAGACATGACAGTTAAATTTTGAATATTTGTATTTTAAGTAATTAAATACAGGGTTGGCAATTTCAGCGGAGTTTATCAACTATGTGGATATACAAAATATTGCAATGCTCGGAGGTATACGAAGATCGATAAAACGTTATGAAAAATGTTAAACACACTTGATATCGTAGCCCATATCTAGGAAAAAAGGAGAAAAGGTGTCTGRCGGTAAGGAAAAAATATTTTCATAACTCCAGCAACAAATCAAGCGTTTTATTATAACAGATTGATGCAGTGAATGAGCTTAGGACAAGTCAAAATTTTATATTTGACAAATGGCGGCTTCTGCATCCACTAATGTGGGAAGACCTGCATAATTCATCGCGGTCGGTCCAAGT